CCCCCGGGCCGCCTACCCAAGGCATCCACAACAAAAGCCTGGTCTGCGGGGGGGGGGGCGCACTAGCTGTGCCCCCCTCCTCCCCAGCAGACCAGGGAGACCCGGAGCAAAGCCGCGGAGGCGGCGGGGTCCCGTGCCTCTGCGGCTTTGCTCGGGGTGTCCCTGGTCTGCTGGGGACCCCCCCAGCAGACCAGGGACACCCGGAGCAGCTTTTCTCTCCCCGGAGGACGCGGTGGGGGCCACTGTGCGTCTGGGTGGTCCCGCCGCCCGTGAGTTCTGGGGCAAGAAAAGCCCCGTTCGTAAGTGCGGATCCGACATAAGTCAGATCCGCGTTACTCGGGGACTGCCTGTACTGGATTTTGCAGCTGAGTAGCCCTATACAATTGATATTAAACTTATTTTAAAAACAAACAAAAAATTAATTAGCCAGCAACAATGTAATTGGTAGTTTTTAAATTAGAAATCCACTGTGATTACACATGCAAGTGGTCAGTTAGATGCCTGAATAGCCATTTTTGTGTGTAATTACAAAATGTGAACAAGCAATTGCAGTAACTACACAATCAATGTAGGTGGAAATCTCAGACTTTCTTTAAAAATATTGCACTTACCATCTCTGTCTGCAGGTTGGCCATCTTGAATAATATTATTATCCTCCTTTGCTTCTCCCCTCTTTCTGCTCCACCTAGCCAAAATGTCCTTGTTAATGTCATCTTTCTCACCTCCCTTCGTGTATCATTTCAGAGCTGTAACCACACAGTTTTATGTTTGTGTGGCACAAAATGGCTGGGCAACCTAAACATTAGTCATTTGCAACACACTTTGGAGTTTCACTTATATATCTCATGTTTTAGGAGAATAGAATTAGAGGGGATAGTGGCATGGCCTAAGCTGTCAGCATAACAGTTAGGCATGCAGAGGACTTGATTTTTCTTTACCCTATATTGTGCGTAGTAATTTACTGCACTCAGACAGGAATGTAAAATTGATTATGGTACAGCATAATACACCCACTTTGAATTCATCTTGCCCAGATGTGAATGACTACAGGAGATGCAATGGAGAATCAGACCTAAAAATACAAATATTGATCATAGAAGGACTTAGATACATTGTGCTAGCAGTATTCCAGCCCCTTTTACTTCTCTGTTCTGCATTTGGTGAGACAATTAGCATTTTGTCATTTTAAAATTGACAAGACAAGTCTATTAAACATCAACTCCACATCTGAAAATGTTTAATGGTCCAGCTACTGAATTGGCTATTTACTGGTTGCTATATAGGTTACCCACTGTAATAATTTTATTGAGTGTTGAGATAGTTTATGCATTTCTTAAAGCATCAATTCCTGGAGTCTGTGACTAAGTGAAAATATTAACTCACTGTTGCCAATGCTTGCACTTATCAAAACTTTTTCAATATTTTGTATTTTTCTTCTTAAAGCTCCAGATGTCGAAGTGAAAAATCTTAGCTTCCATCATGAAAAAAGAAGGAAGTTTCTAAGGCAGATGGTTACAAATAAATCTTTGAAAAATGTGCCTGGGGTCCCCCTCCAAACCTCGCCAACCAGATGGCAGATAAAAAGAACAACATTTGTGACGTAACGATCTCATCATCCTAAAGCAGCTCTCATGATTCTTTCAGGCTGAGGCGGTTCTTACGTGCTAGCGGCTGCAAACGGGGGGGGGGGGGGGCAGATAGGACAGGCCTGGGCAGGCTCTTCAGCAAGCAGCTGCTGGCAGAGATGATCTAGAACGGGTATTCATCTACGTTACCGCCTCAATGAGCAGCCCTGTGCGGCTGACAGCTCCTGCAACCCCCCCGCTCATCCCATTTTGCACGTGGGGAGGCGGGGCAGCAGCTTCGCCTGCAGTTACTGCGCATGCTCAGGACTCTCGCTCTGTAATTACACGCGGTCGCACCCGCTGAGGCTGCAGCGGAAACAGCTGCTCTGCCCCGGGGAGGCTGCCGGAAGGAGCCTCGCTGGGCCTCCCCTCCTCCCTCCCCGCCCGGG